AACCAGAAACGGTCGATCCCAATAGAATACGACCCAAGTTTCATGAGAATGCTTTATCAAAAGCATAGTCTTCTCTTGGTACAAACAAACTGATTATTAAATAAAATGTAGACTGTTGAGTAAAATGGATATTAAACCAAGATCAATGTAATAGAATTATTCCATAAACCTCGCTAGAACAGGAACATAGACATAAATCAAGTTTGTTTTTAAAATACCACATTATCAAAACATCAAAGGTTATGGATTCATATTTATGTACTCCTTACAGATATCGCCGACCCGATGAGACTTCTAAAAGACATGCGAACTGAGGGTCTGACATTGAAACAAAACGTGTTAGGACGAGTGTTTGATCCGGGTGATCCAAACCAGGTGAGAATTGAGAAAGCCTGTGTATGAAGGAGGATTATCTCTTTGATCGCTTATTCTTCTACTAACTATGAGCGCACTAAACACCAAACCAGTTTACTAACAATATTTGATGCTCTACTCTAACTTACCTTTTCACTCTGAAGTCTGACCAAACCCTTAGTCAAAGTCGAGGTGCATACCTACGGAAAAGAATCTAGGTGAGCTCGACTGAGAGGAGGAGCGATCAAAATCGTCACGTGCTATGTAGAAACTGAACGCGTTGTTGTTTACTCTGATTGGCTGAAACGTTAGAGAATCCAACAGAGTGCAAATGGTAGTTCTTTAAATTTATATACACTTTTCTCTCCTTTGTTTTTTCAGCAAATTGTGGCATCTGATGAAGAAAGTGGCGACGATGCAGAAGCTGCTTTCTTAGCTTCCCTTACAGACAAACAGAAAAAGAAATTACTCAGGTATGGCTTGTTTATCGTTGTTTTATTTCTTTGTGTTTTACTGAGGACTTCCGCTAGGAGTATTTCCACCAAATGTTTACTGAAAGTTGAAATAACTCAGAACATGTTCCTTCCGTTATTGAATTGTGGGCGTTTTGGGGATGTCTAATTTTAAACTTAGAAGATGTAAACTTTTTCAACTTTTACTCTTCATTAATCCTTTCCAAAGCTCTGTTTACAAGCGAGCTGCTCTCAGGCTGACCTGCTCTGATCTGTTTTTTTTTTTTCCTGTAGAAAACTGGACAGACTTGAACGCGAAGAAATCGACGCGCAAAGTGGTCACAAAAAACAAAAGAAAAAGAAACGAAAAAGG